AGTTGACGATGAATTCCTAAGGCAGTGTGTTAATATCGTACTTTTTTCGATGGGTGTGAATACATATTGGCGTCCCGTGGAGGAATTGAGACGTTTGGGTGCTATTCGCACCTTTCTTCTAATTGTTGCAACAGGAGACCTGTGGAGTGGTTATACGAAAATGGAAATCATGAGGACAGCGCTGGATGTAAGTCGCTTCGTTTTAAACAAACTCAACCGTGAGTATATGGAGACAGTTCGGGCATTTTACAGAAAAGCTAATTAAGAAATGAATTTTGCTGCATTTTTTAGCAACTAAGTTTGGACCGTACAAATCACTTGTAGCATTACTGGTGGATGACGTTCAAAAAATTGGCAAATGTTCCACCAGAAACTGGTATGTCCGACGGAGACATTAAACTTCGGGCAGAGAATGGGGCATGCTTCTTCCTCCCCTGCAATCGCACTGAGCTTAAAAGTACCTTTGCTGAGTGTTAGCAGTAGTAAAAAGCGCAGTATTCTGTAGAAAAAATCTCGCTCTTTTTACATATATTGTGCTCTATCCACCGATCCCACTAGTTGACAACTGCGCCATTTTTCTTGTTTCTGAATTTGCTGTCTCCACGTAAACAAATGTCTAATTTATGCTCCTCTAATATCGAGTGGGTACCGTTGAACATCCAGTTTGTTATCTCTGATTCTTCACAATTTCTTTACCAACTTAGGAAGAAATCGAAATTTTTGCGGTTGGATTAAATAGCACTAGGATAGTAAATGAAACAGGAAAAAAATTTAGCTTGTGAGCTCCATGTTGTTTCTTTTGATTATTTCTAAGGAAAGTGATTAATTTTAAATCATTTTAATGGGTTTTTCGAAAATCGCCCTTCTACTGCAGCAGGTAAATAATTCATTTTGTATGTGAAACGACCTTTTTTAAGATTTTATGGATGTGTTCGGTTATTCCACAGATTCAGGCGGACTTATGCGAGACAACTTTGAAAGTTCACGGACAGCAAATTAATTCTATGCGGTAAGCCTGCTCCATGCGTTTCTTCAGCTTTCGAGTATTCAGTTTGAGTTTGATGCTACTGCATACTCTGGTCAGCTCTTTTTTTGTCGTTGTGTTTTTTCTATCGTCGAAGTTGCCTCTACTTTTTACAGAATGATTCTGAATATTTGCGATATTGAAACAACGGTGGATACGGAGAT